CTGTAAAATAGTCATGTAGTAGTAAAATAGTCACCCTGTTAATTAATTATTTTTTCATGGATTGTTATTTAATTTACTTTTAATTATTGCCCTTGAATGTGGCAGGTAGTGGTGCACTGTAATGTGGCACTATTCGACATTAAAAAACTCTTTTCCTTCTCTACCTCAAAAATGTCCTCTCTTTTAAGGGTATAATTCTAGAAGTTTATAAACAGCAGAAATAATGGTTATAATTAAAGCTATCGCTTAGCTTAATGACATTTTTTGGGGGAATATTTTTTTAACTTCAGTTTGAACTAATCATCTGAGTGAACAGTAATCTCTTTCATTTTTTAGGTCCAAGCTTTGACATGAGAAGACGTATGGTCCTCGGGTTTTTAGTTCACGTTGGATGTGACCAATTATATAGAGTGCGACGACATTAATACATATTTCTATATGATTTTATTTAAGACTATACGGTATTCGTACGCTTTATTACTAATACTGAAATTTTGAGAATAATTAATTATATATTAATAGACTTCAACTCGACAAACTTAGGACTACTAAATCTGATTTAATTCGGATATTCGTTAATTGATCTAATAATTATTAATAGGAGCTCTAAGAAGATATGGTGGTGACCAGCGTTTCCACCACATTTTTTTTTAATTTCCCATTTGGTCAGCCATATTTTCCCTTTTTTCCTCAGAACGAACTTAATAATTCTTGCCGCTCAAATATACACAACATAATACGTAATGTTATATGTTCTTGTATTATGTCTGTTTTACTTAAATTATTAAAAAATAGATTAAACTGTCCTCAGATTAGTATTTGATTGATAAAAATAATATCTATGTTTTCCCTCTCGACCTTTTTCACGGAATTGGAAACACTGGTGGTGAAATAGATTTGGTGTTACTTTCAGGATTGAAAAAAAAAAAAAAAGTTGAGTGAGCTGTAGCCTATTACATATATACATAGGCGCATATGAGCATTTTTTATTGTGTACGTATTCGTGTTTATATTTGATTTATCATAAACATTTTTTCTTGTTGAACATCGTTTAATTTTTTTTTTTTTTTGGTTTGTTTTTTAATATTTACTGAGACCTGATGAAAATATAAAAATTTTAGGCGAACAGCCTGTACAGGATATAATAAGGTATATTATTATTAGTTTATTATATCGTCTATGAACTCAACGACTCCTCCCCCTCTCAAAGGACTCCTACTATTCATTCTACTGTCAACAATATCTCCACCCTTACTAGCATTGAAAATTAATCGGCGGAACCCGCAATACACAACATCATTGGATGAGGGGTTATGTACGGCAATTATTCATTTCGGTCTCTTTCAAAGTTACCAATCCTTCCGATTTCTCCTATTTTTTTTTAAACTAGTGGACCCCATACCATACTCAAACTTTAAGTCCTAAATAAGAATAATAACCCTTAACAAGACTGCTAATCCCGACTATTTATCATCCTCATAATTTTAAAACAACAGTTAACAATATACCCATCACTAAAAATTAAAACTATATATTTTATCAATTAGGCCATTTTCCACTAACATTTTATTTATTATTTATTTTATTTCGACAACGTTTCGACCATTACTAGGGCCATTTTCAAGTCTTATTGAGTCTTCCATTAAATTTCCATTATTCACTGTCATATTAATTTTTCTGAGCAAATTATTGCGTGAAAGTAGCCAACTAATATCAAATTTAATTTTGAGAAAATAAAATAAAATTTATTGAAATGAGATCATTTCGATTATTTTATAATTAATATCAATCAAATATCATCACAGACATAAACCAGAACTAGAAAATAGTTTTTTTTTTTTTAAATATTATTTTATTGAGATATAATACATTTTGCCTCATCTAAGGACATTGAGTATCACAGCTATATGAGAGAGCTTGATAAAAACAAAAGAAATGTAACTTGAGACAACATTAAATAAAAATATACAGAAGAAGTTTGGGGGGTGCGGCCAAAAAATAGTATATTATATAATAATATATTTTATTAAATTGTCCAACGTTTCGATCTACGTCGTAGGCCTTCCTCAGGGCATTCCGTCATATATATGAGGCATTGTATACCGACTACAATTCATACAATTCATAAAAACACATTTCATTTTTTATTTTTAGAGATGGATATAGTCTTGACTTACAGGTTCGGATCGATACGTCAGTGAGCCTAACAAATCATACCTAGACCTAACGCCACAAGACATATGCCTTCCCCTCAAAAAATTAATATTTTGTATCTGGCAATCTAGTGGTGTGAGAGCCCGTCTAGCAAATTAAAAAATATTTAAAAGAACAGTAAGGCCATGGGCAAAATCAAATCTTCCTACCGCAGAGAGGAGGTTGTCTTGACCAGATAAAGAATAGTCCATATCAATTTAACCCATTCACATCTCATTAGCAAGCACGCACCACCAAAATGTAATACTACACATACAGTTAGCCACATTTTTCAGAAATGTTGTTTCTATATCTCGAATTTAATTAGTTTCAGAATCACACCCCCCAATATGAAACATCCTTAAAAATTACGAAGACACAGTATAGTTAGTGTTAAATTTTCTAAAATTAAACGCCTTGTTATAGAAAATTTAAAAGTTGAAATTTAAATATAGTTCAGATAAACATAATTAGACAGTTAGCCACATTTCTCAGAAATGTTGTTTCTATATCTCGAATTTAACTAGATTCAGAATCCCCCCGAAACAGAACATATTTAACATTTTAAATACCGCAATCCAAAATATCGGAGCCCTTATAGAAAATATATAAATTTTTAAAACATTAACACACACACAGTACTTGTACACTTTTATTTATAATTGCTTAGTGAATTCATGAAGCATAAATGAAAGCTATAGGTTTGTTCTTCTGAATAGTTTTAATTAAGAATTTTATTTTTGGACATATTATTATTTTCCAAAAACCAATGTATACTCAGTGGAACTTTTATAATTAAAACTTGTTTAATTCAACATTTTTCAATGGTCCCCTTAAATTCAAATTGATTAAGTTCTACAACAATAACAACTGTAGGAACATCATGAGTAATTCCAGCTTCAAAACTTAACAAAATCAAAACAAACTTAAAAAAATAACCATATTTTTCAGCACAGAAAATGTTTCTTAATAATCAGTTTTAAGAATATAATTTTAAAAAATCAAATACTGAAAAAAAAGCGTAAAAGTATTGTTCATGATGAAAAATCAATGAGATATTACAGTGTAATATGTCATTTGTATCCTTTCACCCGTATGACAATAATGTTTCAGAATCTCAACTGCCAATTCATGCTTGGTTCTCCTAGCTTGTAAAATTTCCTGACTTATGATCTTATTTTAATGAAATTCCCATACTTTTTCGAGTCTGAAGAAACCTTGATTTAAAACAAAACTCAATAAGATCAGATTTAGTTTTATTAAATCCCATTATTTCTTTACTTATACTCAAGTTCAATTATTTGAGGACATTTCATAGAAAGAACACATCATTGAACCAAATATAAAAGAAAAGAATATTTGCGCTATCTACAATGGAGCAATCCTATCACAGCTTAAAATTAAACTACTTGTTATACGAAATTTAAAAGTTCAAATTTAAACATAGTCCAATAAACATAATTAGACACAGGCGTTGTTGATCTCGAGGTTTTAAGCCTTATAACCCTAACGAACAACAACAACAACCATAAATAGATTGCAAATCCTAACTATTTATCATAATTGGTAAGTGGTTGACTGTCGTGGATAATGAAGAGAAGAATAGTTGGGGTGGTCAGTCAAAAAAGAAGGCAAAAATAAATGATAATATTTATTTTTACATATGCCGACGTTTCGACCTGAAGTTCAGGCCATCATCAGGGCTAAGAAAAGAACCAGATAACAAGGTATGTGAAATATAAAAATTACGGTAAAATGAAGTTGTTAGAATAATGACAATAGTAAGAACAAGAGACAAATAATAATAACAGGTACAAAGTGTGGAATGATGAAGTAAACATAGTCAAAAAGGGTGACATAAGTATTGTAAAGGGAATCTTAGAATAAAATGTAAAACAGAAAAATATGAAGTTATATAAGAAATGGAAATAAATAGTAAAATTAAGATATAGTGAATAGAATATTTAGATAGAAAATTGAGATGTTGTAAAGTCTATCAATATGTATAGACAAAGTATGAAATAATAAAGAGTTAAAACAGAGAAAAGGAATGAAAGGAAGAAGGAGAGAAACTGAGAAGGTTGAAATAAGAAAGAGAATAAGTAAGAGAAATGATAACAACCTGACTGCTCTAAGGTAAAGATGCAATGTTCGTGTTATTGAAGGATGGAGGTGGATAGAAGGGATGTATAGTGGATGTATATGTATGTATCTCCAACGGTTATCTGACGAAGTTTGAACTAACGTATCGGAAGCAAAAATAAGAACGAGAGATATATTATTCATAAATATTAAGGAATAAAACGAAAGTTGATAGAAAGAGGCAATAAAATAGTTCAAAATAAAATAAATTTATAATAAATAAATAATTTATAAATTTGTAATACATTAAAATAGTTGATAAAAATTCTGGAGAGGCAATAAAACGAAGAAAATAACTGTTGAGTAATAATGGAGAATAATTGAAATTAATATAGATCATGTAAATAACTATTTTTCGTGCTTATAAATTAATTTTGATTTAATTTGAGACTTGTTCATTACATTATTGATTACAAACGTACCCATATTTCGAATTTATTTTAATTTAAAAATGTCAAACAGATAGTAAACATTAAGTCGGGGTGGGATTCAAGAATGCCATCCTGGTTTTAACAGAAAACCGGTCGGAAATTGTGAAGGGAATCCCTGAAAGGCACTCTCTTGGCCATGTCAGAGGATGAATGAGAGTTGACGACAGGCTGAGTAAGCGATGAAGACACTAAGTCAAGCTGTGAATCGGAGGCAGGTTGTCGACAAAGGAGGGATTAGCGTGGGATGGGACATTTTCTGCGAGGTAAGGCAACAACAATGTACCTCAGGTCGCTAGACCTCAACCAGATGTCTGACCACAGCACATCTAATCCCCTTTTTGTGACATTTCCTCCCCTTACATGTAAAATAGTGTAAAATCCTATTTGTATCAACGTGTACTTCCGCTGATCTGCCGTTCAACTGTATTTTACCTTTTCAAATGCTTCGGATCCATTAACTACCTAAATCCTTCTGTATTTTTTTTACCAAATAAAACATACTTAACTATTGAAAACTGATAGGTAGTACTTATTTAAAAAAGAAAATTATTGTACCATAAGGCATAGGCGGATCCAAGGGGGGATGGGGGAGGGCTCCCAAATAGAAAAATAATAATTGAAGAGAAAAATGGTTGGGTTGGCCAGTAAAAAAAAAAAAAGTAAAAATAAATAACTATATTAATAACTATATTCAGGCCTTCATCACGGCTGGTCTAACGAAAGAATTCCGCAAGACCAAGCATCAAACCCAAGTCTTGCGGAATCCTTTAGTTCCACCAGTCCTGATGAAGGCCTGAACTTTGGACTGAAACGTCGACAAAAATAAATATAGTTATTTATTTTTACTTTTTTTTTTTTTTTTATTGATCCCTCCAACCATTCTTCTCTTCAATTATTCACTACAGTCAACCATCAATCCACAATTAGGAAAAATAATAATTTCTTCCGTTGAGCGATCTGAATTAAATATTTATATAACAAAAATGTACTATTTTAAAATTATAAGGCATATATTCAGTGCCAAGAAAAAAAAAAAAACAATTATCTCTAAAATTATTATTGTTCCTGCAAACAACATTTCTTTGTTTTGGCAAGCCTTCAAGGATCATTTACTTTATATATCATAATCTTTTTATTTTTCTTCCAGAGTTACTATAGCGCTAGTACCAATGCTGTTCAGTATGGCAGAATGTATTAATACTCAATAAAACAATACAAAAATTTCTTCCAGAGCTATTAATGTTATAATAAAAAAAAATGATAAAAAAAGAAATTTAAAACTTACAAGTTCCCCAAAATTAAATCCTTCATCGGCTACCACCATTAGGTTTATTGTAACTAGTGTTAATTTTCTCATTTGAAATGATTGACAATCACTTGTAGCTATATATAATATTTATCGATACATATTATTCTAGAGATATTTTACTTTTGCTAACAACTTAATTTAGACGGCAAAATATTTCCAAATCTTTTATTTTTTAGCTCAACATGAAGACCAAGCGTGGAGATTAATCATGAATAAAAAAAAACATTATATCAATTGTTTATGATAATTTTATTTTAATATCTAAATACTCTATTCACATTCTGCCAAGGGAGTGTAGCCCAAAATCGGTCTCGGTATTGTAAAGAGCAAGACCGCCTAACTGTTGCAATACCAAGACCAAGATTGGCCAAATAAAAAAACGTTTTTGTGAATGAAAATTAAGGCAAAATAGTTATTAATACTTGACAATTTTAGTTACTATTTGTAAAGAATTCATGTAAGCAATATACTTTTACATTTAACTCTTTCAATTTTTCATTCAGGCTTAGTTAGGTTTTCCCTATCTGAAAAACTACAGTTATATCTCTATAGTAATAAGCTAATATGTAACTGCAAGACTGTTACAAGACTCTTGCGCAAGACCAAGACCAAGAACAAGCATGAGTGCGCAACACCAAGACTCGTCTCGCATTTGGGCAATACTACAAGGGAGCTCCGAACCAGGCTTGTCTCTTTGTCTGTGGAGGGAAAAGCAGGACTTTAATTATCTTTAAATTTATTTATTGGATTTTTTTAAATAATTATTATTAGGGCCTCGCGCGGGCTCATTACCGCGTATGGGAAGCGTCCCACGGGTGGCGGATGTGGGGATGGTCGGTGGAAATTCCTTGGAAGTTCCTCCCGGCTAAGTCCGATGGACTCGCTGACCAACAATGAGAGGGGCCCTCCAGACTTGCTGGAGGGAGGGGACCTCCAGACTTTCTGGAGGTAGGGGCCCACCAGACTTGCTGGAGGGTGTGACGTAGGATTGAACGCCCTACTCACATATCTTTAGTTCACCAAACACCACAAAAAGTCATGGATCTCCCTAAGGTAAAACGCTCATTGTCAGGAGGTAAACTAGTCCCCCGTTCGGGTCTCCGGGTGGGGACTGCTTTAGGGGATTCATGGCGCAAGTTGAAATATAGGGATTTAAATATTGGTACGTGGAACGTAAGGAGTTTAAACACAGCAGGGGGGCTAAAATCGGTCGCGAATGAGGTAAATGGGTACAATTTGGATGTCGTGGCTCTGCAAGAGGTTCGCTGGCCAGGGGAGGGCTCGATGAGGGAAGGAAAGTACACTATTTGGTACGGAGGAAGCGAGAATCATTGTTTAGGTACCGGGTTTCTAATTATGAGTAGATTACTATCCGCTTTGAGGGACGTACAATTCGTTAGTGATAGAATATCGGTAGCTATATTTCAGGGACGTTGGTTTAAAATCTCATTTATAAACATACATTGTTCGACCGAAGACAGTAACGATGAAGTCAAAAGTGAATTTTGCGATAAACTCGAATGGGTTTATGATAAACTACCGCGAAACTACATGAAAATAATTGTAGGTGACGCGAACGCAAAGGTAGGAAGGGAAGAAGTTTATATTCCGACGATTGGTAAAGAAAGTTTGCACGAATATAGTAATGATAATGGGATCCGTCTGATAAACTTTGCCATCTCGAAAAACCTGATAATTAAAAGTACGACGTTTAAACATAAGGATATTCATAAATATACATGGACATCACCGGATTCGCAAACACGAAATCAAATCGATCATGTCTTGATACAACACAGCTGGCAAAGCAGTATAATTAATGTACGGTCTTATCGCGGAGCAGAATGTGGGTCAGATCATGAATTAGTAATCGCGAAACTTCGACAAAAACTTAATATAAAAAAGAGAAAAGAAAACCGTTTCGATTTTGAGAATTTTAATTTGGAAAAATTAAAAAATCCATCAATTAGAAACCAATTCGAGCTAGATGTTAAGAATAGGTTTGAAGCTTTAGAGCTTCCTGACGAGGACCGCGAGGATGTTGACACGTTATGGGTAGAGATCAGGGATAATATTAAAGCGGTCGGTAACTCGTGTCTAGGAAAAAAGGAAAATAAGAATAACAAACCGTGGTTTGATGAAGATTGCTTAAACATGTGTGAAAAAAGAAAAGCCGCTAAATTAAAAGCTCTAAATAATCCTAGCGTAGACAATCTGGAATACTTCCGAATCTCAAATCATTTGCTGTGCCGAATGGTAAGCGTCCGAGGGGTATACCGAAGCGAAGGTGGGAAGATTGCATTAAAGCCGATCTGAAGGGACTGGGTTTGGGTGGCGAACGGTGGAGGGAGGTGTGTAACAAGCGATTGGTGGTGTCGGCATCGAACCTTCGGGTTCGCTAAGCCTTATTATTATTATTATTATTAATTATTATTAGGGAGTGGGATAGCTCAATGGTAGGGCATTAAGCTTCCAATGCTCAAGGTCCCAGGTTTGATTCCTTGCTGATGGCAGAAAAAATAATCTGTTTCATCGGCCGTGGGGTGACCCTGGGGTAAGGAGACTCTCCTGGGGCACACCCAGCCTCTACAAAGAGGGTACTGTTAATTAAAATAATTAATTAAGTCAGAAAACCTGACGGTTGAGCGTGATCATGGCCTGATGGTTCCTGCACAACCGCTGGCTTTGAAAAAGTACTTTTTCTAAATAGTACTGAACCCAAGACCCTTTATGGGTAGTAACGGTACAGGAAAGGTAATTTTTTAAAAATTATTTCGTTGTTACTTCTATTTTATTTAATTTTTTATATTTTCCATAAATATGGTGTCAATGAACTCTTTCCTTACCATAAGCATTGTCCGAATTGTAGCGAGATGATTTCTCTTTCATTCATACACAATGAAAGCGGATTTATAAAATACAGACTTTATAAGCAGGTAAAAAATGTAGATTATCACAAAAAATCAAAAACCTGAAGCAAATTAACTGACTTTGGAATTATCCGAAAAAGGTACAATTTCTTAAAATTACTATACGCATTTTACTTATTTACCATACAGAGAAGTTTTCAATTATATAGAATTCGAAAAAAAATTCGGCCCACCCTAGTTTACAGGTCTGAAAATAGAGAAAAAATGGGAATAAATCGAGATGACAGGTATACTTTTTGGTTTTAAAGTTTTGTTTAAAAAGTGATAGGGGAAGTTATATGGGCTGGATAGACTGGTAAATGCAAAATAAATTAAATTTTAATAGATAAAACCTGAGGATATCTAAAAGACCACTGCCTAAGTAGGAAAAAGAAGTTAAATAAAATAAATTTTCCAGAATGTTACCAATGATTTAGATCTGTTTATTTGTTAATTTTATGATTTAAATCTATAAATGCCACTAGTGTCTGTCATATGCAGTCCCGAACTGTATTCTCATCAACTTGACTCGAATTTGTTTTATTAGTATAGTCTTACCGGGCACAGTTCAAATGGACTGACCGACATAGCAATGTGAGGGCAAATGTATTTTTTTAAGGAAAAACAAAATTGATATTAGTTTTTCTCACTTCGAAAATTCCATAAAACTAAATTTTATAGTAATCGAAAAATAAGAATTTTAGGTATAAATTTATTGCCTAGACTGGACCCTCTGGATATTTTTCAAATACCACAAAAAATTGTGATAACTTCAATAAGATTCCAACGCTCAGCACGAAAATTTTCAGGGATATTGGGCCTTGAAAACTACACTGTGTGACACAAACCATACCTCCTTCACTAAATTAGAATTGGAGATTAAAATATAATTGTTTGAGAAGTTTTTCGCTATTTATTTCTTGCAGAGATGCCAAATCTGAAAGTTAACGACATGGTTTGGAAGAGCAATAACTTAACTTTCCACAGCATATAATAATGTTGAATTCAGAAAAAATCTTATGGAGTTATGATTGCACCCCAGATTTTTGAGAATTAATGGAATTACCAAGTATTTCCGCAGTGCTGAAAAGATGAATGAATTTCATTATATTTTATGAAGTAAATGTATGACTTACACTACTTATTTTGTTCCATTCATCTTTCCTTATAAATTTTACCTCTGATCTAAAATACGGATTGAGTTTTAGTTCAACAAAACCTATCCCAACAATCATATATCTTTTGTATTACGGTTTCCAACTTGGAGACTATGGATTGTGAGTGTATCAGGATACTTTCCATATCATGTTTTCAAGCTCCCGTCCATAATTCCCACAATGCTCCACATCCTCTTCTCCATCCGATACGCAGCCTTCCCGTGAGACTACCTGACTTGGGCTGAATCCTACCTGAGACTATCTTATCAGTTGCCGCCCTGGTTTTGGTGCTGATAGCGCTATCAGCTGCCATCCAGGCTATCTCATCCGCTCCTCTACGCCCTTAAACCCAGGGATGTCTTTATTGTTGTCACCCAGTGTATAGACGGATTAGTTTGGAGTTTGTATGATTATTTATTCAACAAACGAGGATTAACCGGTAGCATATAACTTTTTAGATCTGATAAGCTAACTTCAAGAATGTAAACTCTTTGAAAATTGTACAAATATGTCAGAACAAACATTGTTAAGCTGTTGAAATAAATATTTGATAAATTATTACAGGCTTTCAGTGATTATCATAGATGACTATTCATAAAGTATTCCAAATAAAAATATAAATACCTCTTTTATTAACAACAAGTAAAGATTTAATTTCGATACAATGTTGTCCGATGCTCCCCCCTTCCCTAAGCAATTTGGAAGAAAGTAAAAGACAATATAATACAAAAGGTTTGTCGAAAATTCGAGAAAATTAATTTTTAAAAATTGATCTTTGTAAATATTGCATTCCATATATGTAAAGATATTCATAAATTTTAATAATAATAAACTTTTCGGAAAAAAAAAATCCATTTTGCCCCCTTCTCCTATGAAAGCTTCTAACGTTTTATAATAATCACTTCCAAAAAATAAAAACAAACTATAAACCAGAAATGACAAATATGTACATACAATTAGTAGGGCAATATGATTGAGATACGAATGTATATATATAACTCTAATAAAATAAATCTACTTTGGAATAATCGACAATATAAATATAGTTCTAAATATCGTACTATACAGCCATGCGTTTCTAGAATGCAGATTAAGAACGAAATAACTCTTATAAGTTTCACCATTTCAGATATGTTTAAACAAAAAAAAAAAAAAAAAGATTACATCAATCCATGACATCCAAACATATACTGAATGAAAGGGGTCAGTAGTAACACAACTGAGGAAGGTTGTAATGAAACAGCTGATCAGTAAGAAAGATACAGATAAAGAAACATGTAAATGCAAACCAAAACACATATATATACCACCAAAAATACAAATAACAAGAATAAAATGACTAATAATAAGTAGAGATCAAAAAAGAGAGTTTACAATTTACATCGAAGAAAGGTTATCTTCAAAACCAGCTGATCACGCTGTCAAATGTATAAAGCTAGATTTAATATACTTATCTATGATGTTCAGTCTTCCACAATAAAAAATATTCAAATTTTTTTAATATTTGTAAAGGACCGTTGCATTGTAAAGGAAGGAGATGGTCCGAAGTGACGGTCATAAATAGGCTACATAGTGGTAAAACTATTTTATAAAAAGCCAATGTTTCGGGTGATGTCGGGTGACTCAGTTCTAAGTGAAACTCCTAGCTGAACACATCTCCCTGAAGAAGATCTGCAGAGCCGGGTCGAAACGTTGGCTTTTAATAAAATAGTTTTACCTCTATTTAGCCTATTTATGACCGCCACCCCGGACCATCTCCTTCCTTTATTCAAATTTTTCTTGTCAGTGCTATAATTAAAAACATTAGCAACTAACTTCTTTGCAATACGCATAGCTTCGAATGAGCTTTTATAGCTGTTCCCTCTGAAACTCTCGAATATTGACAGTTATAAATTTAAGTAAGCCTCGTAAATATTTGATAACATCTAAACAGCCTTAACTGAAATAATAGAAATATTTTTACATTAACAGTGAGGGTATGTCAAATTGACCCAAAATTCGAAAAGAACGTGCATTATTGCTGATTGATCAATAATGCAATTTATCAGAATTGAACCACTTTGAAGACAGGTCAACAATGGATAGGAGGGTATCTGCAGTTTGGTGGAGTAAATCCTAGAATTACATGCATAATACACCGAAATATACCGTTCGGGTCAGATTGACTCTAGTGTTACTTTTTAGTGGTTAATAATATTTTGCAAGTCACGGTCATTCTGGGCCAATATGACGAGGTCGTCAACAAACGCAAAGAAAGAGTAAGTGGTAGGCTCCATATCCCTGTGACCAACTGAAAGCTCCGCATCTTCTCTCTTGCTCTTCACAACGCCAAATCTAAGACCATTACAAAAATAAGGGGACTCAGGCTGCAACCCCGACTTATGCTCTGTGTTGTTTGGAATACTGGATATATATGATTACTTGTACTAAACAGATTCCTTGTTGTACTGTGTTGGCTGCTAACAGTCTAATGAGTCCATTCATTACTCCTTTCTTCACCAGAGCATAAAAATATCTTGCCCGCTCAAAGGTCTTGCTAAGATCCACGAAGCATACTGCGATATATCTCTTTACCCTTCTATATGCTATTTTCGTGATTTGCCGCATGGAGAAAATTAGAACACGTATACTCCTTTGACTCCTGAATCCATATTTGTGTGTTCTTCCACATCGATTTATTTAAAATTTTCGGATCTCTTGTGAAGTAGGGTACATTTTTATATTTTCTGAGATGTATTTTTTGAAAATAATATTAATATTTAGAATAAGTTTTAATCTTTAAATATTTGGAGAAGTAAATATTAACAAAATTCAGAATTTGTTTTTGCCACGACCACATTTACTCTCTTATTGTTATTGTTTAAGTAATTAAAAAGTTATTGTCCGCCCACTAAGCAAAGTTTCCGATTTCGGAGCCATCTCCATTTTCTCCAATCTTTCAAAGCCTCCTGAAAGAAAATTCCCATCTCAGCTTGATGCTTTCCTTTAGCAAAGAGCTCTCCTCAATCCCTTCCAGTCTGGTTTCCGATCCCAGTTATCCAATCAATCCGCTTTGCTGAAAAATTTTCAGGACCTTCATTTCTCTGTAGACAAACAGAAAATCTAAGGCTAATGAATTGTTTCATTAAATTTATACTTGATTTCCCAGGCGCTCCCACGTCTCCAGTTGCTATGCCGAGTCAAAGTGGCTCTATCCAGTTTTCCGACGGCAATATGTCTTAGGTGTATTCCTTTTCGGAACTTTTACAACCAAACAACCTTCTTATCTTACTGATTTCTTTACACCTTGTTCCTCTGTTCATTCGTTCAACTCGAGATCCCAATCCTTAAATTTGTTTATTCCTTCTCATAGAACTGTTTTCTTTAAAAAATCCTTCGTCTGCATGCTACATCGTTTTGGAATTCCCAACCAACCTCTATTCGGAAATCCTCAATCTTGAACTCATTTAAACACAGTTTATTTTTCCATCTCTTCATAATCAATCTTCTGAATATATGTAAAATTAAGTTATTTTGTACTTTAGAGATGTCAGCTACACTATGCTAATATCTTGCAGATATCTATGTATGTGTCATATTGCTTATTTGTACAAATACGTGAACTCACCCCTATTTATTAATCTTTAAATTCATATGTCTACTTCAAGATCATATGTTTACCACAGTGTCTCTATTTTTAATCCTAAGAATTTTTAATATTATGAAAAATTTACATGTTTCTTTATTTCAATATTAAGGTTAAACAACTTTGTAAATTAATTTATTTTTAATTGTCATTTAATTATTCACAATCGCCAGATAATTGTCTTTTGTTTGTTCTTTATAATTATTCTGAGGGGACTAAATGTTCCAGAATAAAATTTACTTTCTTTCGCTCTTTCTCATTGGTCATTAAGGAATTGATAAAGAAGAATTGAAAAAAAAAAATTTAAAAATCCAATGAAACAATTTTAATAATTCCAATATACTTAATGGCACCATGATGATTTCTATTAATGTTTGAAATGATAGCAAACATCCAATAATAGCTCGGTTAAATTCTCATGAGTGATATTTAAAAGAGCCTAAGCAACAGCACTTGGGCAAAAACAGTGGAAGGCATTAGCATAAATGGTAATGAGCTATTATTCCAGAGAGCTCTGGTGCCAAGCGATGGCGTTGAATGTTCAATGTTTACCGTACAAAGCTAATTGACCCAATTGTGCAAACTGCGAAACCGGTTAGATTTTTTTTTTCTATTATTTAAATTTTTTTTTATTAACACAATTTGCCACACTCAGGCTATAAGCATAGAGCTATCATTATCCACTCATACAACAAACACACCAACTCACACATACACAAACAAACACGCACATACATACATATATGTACATATACATATAAGAAAAGGATATAAAAGTAATGAAGAACAAATTAAAAATAAATAAATAAAACGAAGTAAATATAAATGAACAAACAAAATATAAAATAACAATAATTAGTAGTAAATAAAGTATACTGATATAAATTTAAAACAAATATATATGACTTAATAAATTAAAGGATATATATATATATCTATATTAATTAAAAAAATTACAATTTTAGGTGTAAAAATTTATTTAAATTAAGAGATTTGAAACTTCGCTTTATGATACTTATATATTAGCAGTTAAATATAAACGTAGTCTGTCTATGTTAGGCCGCGGTCATCTACTGGCAGATTCAAATTCAAAAATTGCAATTTTAGGAGCAAATAATTACCAAAGTTAGGAGCCTTGATATTTCGCTGTTTGATGCTAAATATACATATATATATATATATATATATATATATATAAGTTAAACGTTGTGGGCTTTAAACACTTAAAAAAAAGAGAGTAAAGGTCCAACAAAATGACACGCATGAAATCAGAAACAAGACTGTTTTATTCCTCCTTATAATCCTCTATATATACATTCTCAGTTGTTTACATAAATGCTTTTGGTATTAAAGCTAATACTGTCCCGCTCCGTACCTTAACTCCCCCCCACCAGTTTACGGATACTCTTCGTAAACTTAAAAAAAACAAAAAGACATACAACAAAAAGAAACACTCTTATATACACAACGACAAGATTCTCTTGCCCATATTATAACGCAGGTACGGAGTGTTCAGTACTTACAACCTAATTTAAGGAAACACAAACAAAAATATTCCTTATATATCAAAATTAAAAAAAAAATACACTTTCCTCTATATAATCTTCGCACAAATGAAAGGCGTATTTCACTGCTTTCACAATCTACACAAAGTTATGTATGAGCACTATATACAAAACAAACAAAAC